TCCCTCCTGGGGGTGCGTTCCCACTAGAACCAGTATTTTTTGGATCCACCATTTTCCTACCACTTCTTAAAATCATACACTCTAAGTGTTGAAGTTCAGGAAAACAACATGCAAAATAAAGACAACTTAACACAACGAGTCCCACAAGGCATGCCAATTTGTTTGCAGAGGTTTCTGATAAACAATCTTTAGCCTCTTAATTAAAGTTTACTTGCAGGACCGGCTACAAAAGCCCCGGACTTAGTGTTAAGTTTGGTATAAATTTAGTGTTTAGACTGGTTTGAAATGAATTGTAAATGTAATGAATAAAAGACAACAATTGCAAAACAAGAACAAAAGAAATGAAACAAAGCTTTTAAAGAAAACAACAATGTAAATTTGCATTAAGTTAAATATAGAAGCATGCATACATTTCAAACTTGAACTCGTTTCTATCTTGAATGCATATACTTTGAGTAATTCTTTAAATGTAGTGAAATGTGATCTCTAAAATGAATCTAAAAACTTACTTAAATAGATAAGAAAAATAACTGCTCGCCAGTTACTAAACTAACACATTCTGGGTTCGTGTGGAACTGCCTTCGAAACTTCACACGTTCTATTGACAACCACCAAGAGTAATTGCTCCTCTATCAATTGCTTCTGCTTTCGACCGTGGTCGACAAACTTAAATCTCAACACCCAATTTTTGCCAAGTCCCTGGAATCTCTCTAAACCACCTGTGTCGATATCTCTTATCCAGTTGTTGGTGGCATCGGCGCTTCTCCTTGTGATGGTAACCTTTGACCTGTAATACTTTTTCTTAGTCAAAAATACTAGCTAACAGTTACTTGCATATCTTTTTTCAGCTTGATAGTAATGAACAAGACATAAATGGTATCCAATACTTTATCTAGTTTTTCTCTTCCATATTTATTGTTTCTAAAATATCTTTTAGGGACATTATTGTGTTGAAGATTTTCTTGTTGGATATTTACATCAAAACAAAATATTGAATCTATAACTAGATCATCTTCTCTTACAATTCCTGCTCTTTTCCCATATCCATTTCCCGCTTCGACTTCTTCTAATCTTTTTCAACTCTTCTTTCATCAGCTACTTCCCATTCATCTTTGACTTTTATCTCAACTTCATCCTTCCTAGAACTATCCAACATATTCCCATTAAAACCTTCATTTGATCAAGCTGACACTTGTTTAAATAACTGCCCAATGTGATTTTCAATATTCTTCATGGATTCTTCAATGTTCTTGTTGTATGCTTCAATTTCTTTGTTGGATGTTTCAATGTTCCTTTAGAATGCTTCAATTTCTGAGTGTCTTGCTTCTAAGTTATGTTGAGTCAACATGAATTAGTTCATAGTCTATTTTAAAAGAGATGACTCCCTTTCAAGTATTACTTGAGTGGCCTTAATTTCTCCAAAGTTACTTTGAGTAAACTTCATAAACTCATTAAAAGTCTCCTCTAAAATGGATAACGTCCTTGGTGGTGGATCTTGGGTAGCTTCTTTGTTGAAAATTTGAAATTGATTATTACTCTAGTTAAGACTTGAATGATCATCACACTATAGATTATTTGAATTTAGGTAAGGATTTGACTCTTGATAATGCGCTTCCCAACCTATTGTACACAATAGCCATTGGTGTAACCTCCACCACAAGAATCACATTGTAAAGCCCTGACTGAATTAACATTTGCTGGAATGAGAGTTGAGGCAGCTAATTGCTTTGACAAAGCTTCAAGTTGTGCTAACAAAGCAATTTAAGAGTTAGCTCCATCATACATGTCTTCATTTACCTCGCATACACAATCAGAAGAAAAATGCCTCAGTGGCACTGAACTAGATAAAAAATAACTAAAATTAGAAAATAAAAAATATTAAAATTAAAATAGTAACAAAAAAAAATAGAAAATGGAAATAGAATTATAGGTATTTACAATAACCAACTAAGAAATATGAACTAAAACAAACAGGAAAAAAAATAAAGATAAAATAGAAAATAAATAGCAACAAAGAAAATTCAAAATTAAACCTACAAATTTTAAAAATAACAAACTAAGCACACAAATTACCGTATTAAAATTTGCAATCCCCGACAACGGCGCTAAGAACTTAATGATCTCTCGCCAAGTGTACCAATAACGTCAAAGTAATAATAAAAATATCGTCTCCATGAGAATTGTAATTTAATAAGAGAATTATGTGAAAATGTAAGTAATAAAGGGGGGGGGGGGATGTCGGTAAAAATCGGTTCTAAAACGAGAAATTAAAAGAATGAAATTCAAGATAAAAAAGATGATTAGGTCTATTATATCGAATTCTCTTATTTTACCTGTTGATGAATTGTGTACTTATTGAGTTTCAATTAAATTATCATCTCATTGTGAACTAACAAAATCACTACACCTAATTTCTTGGTGTGCAACTCACTGATTTATACGATAATTCCCTAATTCATTAGGCCAATTCAAATTTAAAATGAGGCGTTCTAAGTGCATTAATTCAAAAGCAAAAAATTCTAACTACCTATCCCTAGTTAATTACAAATTCGAATAAATTTCCCTAGATCAAATAACTAGACTAATGGTCAGAAATTCCTATGCATCTAAATTGATTTGTGCGTTCGTAAGCGACAAAAAGCATTAAACTCAAGAACAAATTAAATAAGATAATAACAATAAAAGTATTCAATAAATATCAAACAGACATATGATCCAACATAGTAATAAGAAAGTTCATCTCAAAAAGACCTATTCTAGAGAAATTTAGCTACTCATTGATAAATTAACAAACACCACGAGTTGAAAAGTCTTCATTAAAATCTATGAAAGAATTTCTCTCTAATGACTCCAATATGCTCCAAATTCGCCTCTTGAATATCCCTAGTCGTCAATGTATCTTTAGGGTTAAGAACTCCTTAAAAAGTAGCAAAAATTGTCTTTAAATGGCATTATGCATGTCAGCTAAAAAATGGTTCATTGTGCCACGATACATCAGTGTCGCATCGCGATGCAAGCCTCATTGCATCACAATGGGATGCATCAAAGGCACGAGAAATTCAGAAGCAAAATGCAGGTTTTATTCTCTTTTTCTTCACGATTTTCACTAAGTCTTTATTTCTTCATTGTCTTGGATTTTTACTCAATTCTTCATATTTTGTCATGGATTTTGCTCATTATTATTTCGAATTCTTCCGAATTTTCTCATAAAAATCACATAATGACAACTTTCATTAGGGATAGATAAAGAGAGAATAGTTTTTTTCTTTCTAATTACAACAAATATTGCCAAAAAGCAAGAATTACTAGCCAACTTTTTCTTTTTAAATTGAAGCTAAAGATCAAGTTGCATATCACTTTCATTCCATTTCATGAAACCTTTGACAAACATGTAACCACCACTTTAAATTATTATTGGTGATTGAAGTGTTTTCTTAATATTATTGATAGTAATAAGTAAGTCGATACTAATGTTAAGGTATCAGTAGGGTTGGAAATGAGTGGAGTCAAATTCACCTCTGCTTAGTTTGACTCGTTAAGAATTGATTCAGCTTAAAATTCAATTTGAGTTCAACACGATTTTTTTAAACTTAAACTCAATTTACTATAAGTTCAACGAACAACTCAGTTCAATTCGTTAGATTCATTTTATTAAATTTAATTTGCTTGCTACACAGACTTAATAGTCGTTTTTTTTTTTAATTTAAATATAATTTTAAATTAATGTTTTCTTAAAAGATAGTTTAAAACAAATTAGAATATATGATTTTTTTTTTAATTTAAAGATATTTTTATATGATGTTGATTCTCTTAGAATATATTTAGAGGATATTTTTTTACACAAAAAGAAATTTAGAAGATATAATTGATTTTCTAAAATTTAAAGAAATTTAGAAGATATTTTTTAAATTAGAAGATACATATTGATTTTTAAATTATTTTAAAAAAATATTATTTGTATGATATTGATTTTATTTATATAATTATTTTTAAAAATATTTTACTCACTTGAGAATATAAATGATCAATTAAAATTGTTTGATCAAAAGAAAATAATAAGACTAAGATTTGAAATAAATCTTTAAACCTAAAGTCTCAAACAAACAACATTTCTATAATTCAAGATCCCAAGGGACGTGGAAATAACATTTCCACCCAAAGTCTCAAAGAATTATGTGTATGGATCGCATCTATTATATATTCAATATTTATTTTAGTTCTAGTTAATGTGAGACTAACTACTCTAACTTGAACTTAAAAATGAGTCAACTCATTATATGTTTCTCAATGTCAATTTTTTTTTATCTAATGTGAGATTCTTACCTACACTTAATAAACAATCATCTTTCTCTTAAGTATAAGTCCATCCACTTATTTAAAATATTCAAACTTTTTCTTCCATTTACACTTGCATTATCAATGTCACACAACGTGATATACAAGATTCATGAGAGTCTGAAGTGATCATTGATGCACAAACATATTAAACGAGTGACTTCTAGCATACATCTCCAAAGAATATCTTACATTATTATTTCAATTAAGTTACCTCAAAATAATAATATTTAATGTTAAATTCTCAACTTTTTTAATTACTATTTCATGAAACTTTATCTCTTATATTTAAACAATCAATATGGCCACATCATCAAACTCCAATAATTAGAGAGAAAAAAACAGAACTTAAAAGTTAAACGATGTCTAAATTCCCACCATTAAAAATACTCTAAACAAAGAGCATATGAATAAATCAAATATTAAAATGAAATTGACCTTAAGGCCATGTAGGTATGACCATATGAAACCATATAATCAAAGGACGATTTAAAAAGAATGGATCAATAAAAACTTTCTATACCAATAAAAAAACATTTCCTTTTTACCAACTCATCACATAATAACTTTCAAAAAATGCAAGAGTTAAAAGAAGAAGGTTCCATTAGCAAGCAAAGTCTCACATCACAGATTCACGAAAATCTCACACATCTGATTCAACTCTCATGTCTTCTGTCAAGCAAAACCAACAACAACCTTCATGCCACACTCTCTTCTCTCTCCGCGGCTCACTCCTAACTCTCGCAATCCTCACCCTTCTCTCATTCACATATCTTTCCCTCAAATACACCACCCCTTCATCTCAGGTAACCAAAATCAAAATCAAACCCCAACCCATTTCCAAATTTTCAATTTTTCGATTACCCTTTTCGTTTTTTGTTTTGTTTCTCAGGTGTCATCATCAGTTGGGAAGCTTGTAGATGCAGGAAGAGACGAGAAACTAGAAGATGATGATGGTGATGAATTTGGAGATGTCTATCACTTACCACGCGTTTTCAAGTTGAATTTTGCGGAAATGGAGAAGAGGTTCAAGGTTTACATATACCCAGATGGGGATTCTAAGACTTTTTATCAGACTCCGAGGAAGCTTACGGGGAAGTATGCTAGTGAGGGTTATTTCTTTCAGAATATTAGGGAGAGTCGTTTTCGCACTCTTGATCCCGAACAGGCTCATCTCTTTTTTATTCCTATTTCATGTCACAAGATGCGTGGCAAGGTATAATGATCACTACATTTTGTTGCATTTCAGATTCATTTGCAATGTTGCGCTTTATCGCTCTTAAATGCAATCGGTGCAACTAGTTGTCCGTTTGCCTGCTATTTCAGTATAATCTTGATTATATACTATATTGCATATGGTAATTGCACTTGTGATCTCGTCTTTGGACCTTTTGTTCTTAGGACTAAACTTACATCTAGATCCCTATGTCTTGTTCCCCATTAGTGTATTAAATAACAGTTGTGGTGGTTAAGATTCATGGTCAAATGCAGCCTCATTTGCAATTACATTGTGATATCAGCAACATCCTTATGTTTTGAGTATTTTTGCATCTGTTTAGTGAGAAATTATAGTAATGGTATCTGTCGTAACCGCGTGTGTACTGTACCATAGTTTTATGGTTATAAAACCCTGCTCCCGAGATGGAAATAATTGATTATTTGTCCATGATTTGTTACCATGATGATGTTGATACATACATACATAGCTAAAAGGGGAATGATAATAAGAAAGATTTAGACTGTGTAGTCTCGACGTGTAAGTGTTTGCTTCTAGGTAGGAAATGTAGTCAGTCTCATGTTCGGATATTATGCAGGGAAAATCTTATGAGAAGATCAGCAAAAATCTTTATGTCTTGGCCTAGATTGTGGTCTCAATCATATGCTTTTAACAAAAGGACAAAACTTACTTCTAGATCCTTATGCCCTCTATGTCGTGTTCCCCACTAAAAGTATACCAAAATTGTCACTAATTGATTTCCACTGATTTTAAGGTGTTAGTTGTGTTAATTGTTTTCTGAGTATTTTTGCATCTGTTTAGTGAAAAACCATAGTGGTATCTATAGTAATGTACCTAAGTTTTATCCTTTTAAAACACTGATTCTGAGATGGAAATATTTGTTAATTTGTTTGCGATTTGTTGCCATGAGGCTGTAAATTTACAACTAAAAGGGAATGATAAGTAGTACAAAAGTAATCTAGGTGGAATGTAGTGAACCTCATGCTTGGATATTATGCAGGGCACGACTTATGAGAATATGACCATAATTGTACAAAATTACGTGGAGAGCTTGATATCCAAGTATCCTTATTGGAACCGAACATTGGGTGCCGATCATTTCTTTGTCACTTGTCATGATGTTGGTGTGAGGGCAACAGAAGGACTACCATTACTTGTGAAGAATTCCATTCGAGCAGTGTGCTCCCCCAGCTATGATGTTGGATTCATTCCACACAAAGATGTTGCGCTCCCTCAAGTGCTACAGCCATTTGCTCTTCCAGCCGGAGGGAATGATGTAGAAAATAGGTGAAACTTTTTAAGATTTGCATTTTTTGCCTCTTCCAGTTAGTTAGATGATTATACAAAAATTGGTGCAAATTAGGTTTTATGCAAATTAGGTTCTAGAAGATCAATATTCAATAAAGAATAGTTCTACACGCCATTGTGAAAATTTGATAAATTTGTGCTTTGCAGGACTAGTCTTGGATTTTGGGCTGGTCATCGTAACTCTAAAATTAGAGTTATTCTAGCGCGTGTATGGGAAAATGACACAGAACTTGACATTTCAAATAACCGAATTAGTAGGGCTACTGGGCATCTAGTGTACCAGAAAAGATTTTACAGGAGTAAGTTTTGTATATGCCCTGGTGGATCACAGGTTAACAGTGCTCGAATAGCAGACTCTATCCATTATGGATGCATACCTGGTAAGTCATACTTTCTGATTTTTTTTACCTTTTATTTTTGTGGTTGCTTATATAGAGCTTCTCAAACATGCATGCCTAGTGTATTTGTTATTGGATTTTGTGACATAGTTGTGGTCGTGTTATAACTGGTTTATCCGATGTACAGATGTTCAATCCCAGATATTGAACTTGTTTATAAAACAAGTTCATGTTCTTAAACCGGTTTAGATAATAAAGTTTTTTGCGGCGCAGTCTGGCTATTAGCTTGGTTTACAATTTGTTACGTTTTTATGATTCTTTTTGGCACACCTCATGGAATGTAGAATTTCCACGATTGGTACTGAGAGGTGTGACCAATTCTGTGGCTATCACTACAGCATGCAATCTTTCTGTTTTTGAAATTTCTTTTTGGGCTTAAAATAACAATCGACCCCGTTGACCCTCAGAAATAGAAGAGTGTCAAGTTTTGATAGATGTCCCCGTATTCATCCATTACCTTTTCCAACTCGTGTTCATGCATTAGGATTTAGGACCACTCACTGCACTATTACCCCAAAAATAATTGACTATGTGACTTCATTGAAATTTCAAGACCAACCTTCTTGAAGTTCTTATTCCCGTCTTGTTTATGACTAACCTTTCTTTACACCCTTCTTGCCACTAAGAGTGCATTGGAAACAAATTTATGACCTTTCACCCATCCAATCACATTAACCAAGGTTGAAGCAGTGTTGTCAATCACAGATTGCAGAAAAAAACAGCTTGTTAAATCTTTTTTATGAACGGTGTCGTAGCGCTGCTATAGTTGCTAATTGACAACAATTTGTACTGAATAGGGTATCCCGGGACATTAGTGATTTGTTCAACTTCCACTACACTATAACCACCATTTAACAATACTGGGTCGAAATACTTCATTACTGGGTGATAATTAATCTCTAATTCAGTAGAACCTTAGTTATCGAGTTGCACGTCTACTTCTGCTTCAATTGTTACACGAATTATATTTGAACTATAACCTACTTCTGCGATGTACGAGTCTTTAGACAACCAACTGTGTAACTGACCTGACCTCAAATTGTTAATGTTGTTTTGCAGTGATATTATCAAATTACTACGACCTTCCTTTTAATGATATTCTGGACTGGAGAAAATTTGCTGTTGTACTCAAGGAAAATGATGTATATCAGCTTAAACAAATCCTCAAAAAAATATCACAAGCCGAGTTTGTTGTACTTCATAATAATTTAGTCAAGGTAATCCTCTCATTACTTTATTTCAAGAAATATTTCAATTTTATATGCTTAAATTGTACTCTGGAACTTATTACTTATGTCATATGGTGGAACTCACAAGAAAGTTATGTCATGTTCTATCAGATTCAGAAACACTTCCAGTGGAATTCACCTCCAGTGAGATATGATGCTTTCCACATGGTTATGTATGACCTCTGGTTACGCCATCACACCATCCAATACTGATTTTAAGTGCTTGTCTGTTTTTGTGGATCAATGTCCAAAGCGCGCCCCAGGACCAAAGCTACAGTTGCAGCTTCTGTTAAAACGCGGTCAATTGGCTTATGAATGAAGGTTGAGTGTATGTAGAAGTGAAACTAAACAAGCCCCAAGACTCACTCTTATCCTGTATACACCTTACTTAGCAACCCAGAGAGGCACTGTAAATAACTACATTACTGTTTTGTATGTAACAGCTAGTTTTTCAATATTCTTGCATCCACATTTTTGTATTATTTATAATTGCCGTGAGGCTTTTTGTTGCGTTGAAAATTATGACAGGTGCAATTGTTAGTGTTGTTCAAAATCCAAACTAAATTAACGTTGGTTTGTTTGAATATCAACTATAACAACTAAATCATAGTAAAATATACGTCGATGATTCGGTTTAACTGAAGTGTAATAACACGGGTGAACCATCACAGAATTGTCTGTTTACTATTTTGTTTAACAAAGTAAACAGACAAATTCTGTGAAAATAAATTGTAAATTTGAGATTCACCAATAATCTTTACAGGAACATATCCCTCCTTTGAAATGATGGAATCTCTTTGCATCTCTAGCAATTATATCTCTCCCAGTAAGTAAAGAAACAAATTTGATCCAATTGTGGCAGTCCCCACAAACTCTAAGATTCTTGAAAATTCTGATAGTAGTACTCCTACTACAAGTCTTCCATAAAGCAAAAGCTATAGCTAGTTTTTCACTGTGATAATATAAAGAACTAATCTTTTTCTCTTCCTCCAAATTCTGCAACACAAATTTGGTATCAGGGTTATAACCCAAAGTTTTAACCTTCTCTATTAATTCATGCAACATTTCCAAAATCTCATGAGCTCTTGGGTGAGATAAATCTCCTGCCATAAAAGTATGAACCTCTCGATCGATATCAACCCAACTCATTGCAGGACTCTTCTTTAACTTCAAATCTCTTATAGTGCTTTTCATTTCAATCACATTGTCCCATTTTCCAGACGAAGCATAAATATTTGTTAAGAGAATATGAGTTCCTCCATCCCTAGGAGCGTGATCAAGCATTTTTGCCATAAATTTCTCTGCCATCTCTATTTCGCCGTGAATCTTGCATGCATTAAGCAGTGTCCTCCATAATATTGCATCTGGATTTTTCACCTCCTCTATCAACATTGCAGCCTCTTCAAATCTCCTCGCTCGTCCTAACAAATCAATCATACAAGTAAAATGGTCTCTTGTCAACTCAATATTGTGGTTATTCCTAATGAAAGCAAAAATTTGACAACCTTCTTCAACTAATCCTGCATTGTTACATGCCAAGAGAATGCTAATGAAAGTTACACCATTTGGTGCAAGTCCCAATATTTTCATTCTTTCAAATAGTCGAAGCGCTTCATGCCCAAAACCGTTTTGCGCATAAGCATAAATCATTGAATTGAAGGATACTACATCTAATTCGGTCAACAAATTAAAAACAGACCTTGCCTTTTCTACATTTCCACATTTTCCATACAAATGAATCAGTGCAGCATCAGCATACTTATTTCCATCAACTCCTAGTTTCATCGTCACCGCATGAATCTGTTCCCCTACTTCAAGCATTGCAAGGCTAGAACAAGCATGAAGAATACTCGATAATGTGAAATGATTCGGAATCACTGAACAACGAATCATTTCCCTAAATACTGACACAGCAACCTCCTCTCTCCCGTTCTGCACAAGACCAACTATAAAAGATGTCCAAGTCACATGGCTTGCATAGTTAAGCTGATTAAATACCTTTATGGAATCCTCAACCAAACTGCATTTTGAATACATAGTAAGAAGTGAAGTCTGTGAAGCAACAACAGATTCCAAACCAGACTTAACAACAACACCATGAATCAACTTACCATTAATTAAATCTCCTAGATTACCACAACTAACCAAAATACTAGCTAAAGTATATTCATTAGGCTTGATTCTCCTACCAACCATGTCCTCAAAAACCTCTAAAGCTTCACCATCAAGATCATGCTGATTATACCCCACAATCAATGCAGTGAACAAGACAACATCTTTATCCAAAACACGGTCGAACACCAAACGGGCATCCTCCATTTTATCAAATTTCGCATACATATCAACAATGGAAGATGCAACAAACCCATCAGATACCTCAAATCCCAAAACCACAGCCAACCCATGAGCCTTCTGTCCGTGGCGCAAAACACCCAACTCTGTAAAAGCCTTAAAAATCGCAGAGAACGTGTAAGCATCAGGTAAAACACCATCAAATAGCATGTTTTTATAGAGCTCAATTGCTTCATTTGTCTTCCCACGTCTGACATGGGAGGAGATCATTGAATTCCAAGTAACTATGTGTCTGTTAGGCAATTCGTCGAACAGCTTGCATGCTTCGGCTACAATGCCGCATTTGATGTAGGCATCAATGAGCTTGTGACCAAAAAATGAGAACAAGAAACCGGATTTGATGATGTGAGTGTGAACTGCTTTGAGGGTGGTTAAGGATTTTTTGTGTGCAGATTGTGCAATAAGGGAAGTGTATACATTCATGTTTTCATACTACAAGACAATTGTTTAATGTTTTTCAGACTAAGTAAATAATAAACTAAAATCTAATAAATTTGAAAAAGTAATATGTATAAAATCCAAAGTTATAAACTCAGTTATGTTAATACCAACGCAACATTTGATAAATGGTATGAAAAACCATATGTTTAGATTCCACAATTGTGCGTGAAATATCTTAACTTTACAAAAAAAAAAAGTTATGATATTTAAATCGTAGATTTTTTTTTATTTTAAAATTAACGAGGCTTGTGTAATATTTTGGATAGTTTGGTTATATTCCAATGTGAAACAGGAAATTAGTGTTAGGTTGTGAAAAAGGTCTCTTGATATGCTAATGGAAGTCTATGATCAACAGTGAAGGGGGTATGCGTGCAAATTTAGTATTCTATCGCTTAAATCAATGAAATTAAAGTGAAAAAGGTTGTAAGTGTATAAAATGAATCATACATTAATGTAACACATAACCACTTATATATGATTTACACTTATAATCGAGTTTGTTGTTATCTATAAGTATTGTTGGATGAATTCTAACGAATGAGATGAGTGTGGTGTGTGGCTTCAGTGCAAGGCTCTTTATTAGGGGTACACCTATAAATTGATCTGATCGGACAAAGCTTTGGATTTGACATTCATATTAGATTGTTTGCACAGTCAAAAATAGTTGCCATGAAAGTCTTTGCTATCATATACGATTAAGATTTTTTTATCGAATTGTCGAGACCAACCTCAAGAAAATCAACCTTAAGAAAATTTCATTCTAACGCTTCGTCGCCGTTGATATAGTTTATTGAATTAAGAGAGACTAAGAGACATTTAGGTTAAACTGTGTGTTTTGAAAAACACTACGAAAACTTTGTTATATAGAGAGAGATTACAGCTAATTACATGATATAATCAATGTGGGACTATTCTATATACAAATATTCTTAACACTATATATTTACAAATATCAACACTCCCCCTCAAGCTGGAGCATATAAGTCAAATGCACCAAGTTTGCCACATATATAATTAGTTCTGGAACTTCACAGAGATTTTGTAAACACATATGCCAATTGATCATTAAAGTTGACAAAGTTTGTAACGATGTCGCCAGATTCAATATTCTCTCTGACAAAGTGACAGTCTATCTCAATATGTTTGGTCCTCTCATGAAAGACTATATTTGAAGCAGTGTGCAATGCAACTTGATTATCACAGATAAGTGTCATTGGACTTGCTTCTTCAATTTGAAGTTCTTGGAGTAACCGTTTTAACCAAATGAGTTCACATGTTGCCATTGCCATGACCCTATACTCTGCCTCGACACTTGATCTTGCAACTACATTTTGTTTCTTAATTTTCTAAGATATAAGGTTTCCTCCAACAAGTACACAATACCCAGAGGTGAATCGTCTATCAATTAGTGACCCTGTCTAATCAGCATTAGAGTATCCAATTATCTGAGTATGTCCTTTATCTTCATACGCAAAACCTTTTCATGGAGCATATTTGATGTATCTCAGAATCCGGATAACAACATCCATGTGATCTCGACAAGGGGAATTTAAGAACTAGCTTACCACACCAACTGCAAAAGAAATGTATAAATGAGTGACAATGAGATAATGCAAATTTCCAACCAACTTCCTATACCTTCTTGAGTCTGATAGAGGCTCCTCCTGATTGGATAATAGTTTGACACTTGGATTCATAGGAGTATAAGTTGGTTTAGTGTTCAACAAACTTGTTTGTACCAAAATATCCATAGCATATTTCCGCTGAGAAATCACCAAATCATCTTTAGATTGGGATACCTCAATACCCAAGTGTTGTACCCAAAAAATTTCTTTCTCATTTTCAAATCAAATTATTTCAAGAGGTTTCCTCATCTTCCTAAGGCTCTCAATTACTCAAGATTACTCAAGGAATTGATCAAACAAGTCTTCTCCTAAGCAATTAGCCTACAACTAGGGTTTCATCTTTCACAAGGAAATTTGGGTTTCAAATACCTCAAATGGTTTTCATAACTCCTCATATGCTTCAAAGAATGTTCATACCAAGTTTCATGTCTTGCATCATAAGTTTGCTCAGTCAATTGCTCAGATGATGGAAAATCAACTATATAGGGTAAAAAGTCAATTATGGCCAACATACAGTCAAAATTCAAGATTTCTGGTCAACATCAAGATTTTAAAGTCACATTCATCATTTGATCAAGGGTTGATCATGATTCCTCAAGAAAAAACCTCAAATCATCAAAAGTCAAAAGTTGTCAAATTAGAGTTTCTTTAGGAGAAGCCAACTGAACTTTGACTAAGCAAAACTTTCACATGCTTCATCATTTTTTCCCCAACCAAAGCTCATTTTGAAGGAAATCCAATTCTCTACAACTTTGTCTCTCTAAGATCAAGTCCAAAAAGTGCTTCATTTGAGAG